AATTTAACAGTGTAGCGAGGATATCTTCTAAAAAAAAAACTCAGTTATCTCTCACGAAAAAAGAAACATTTGGATTTAGTATCTCATACAGGCTCATCTAACGTAGATCAGTTTCTTTTTCCGATGTGTTTATTATTACAGTTACATATTGCGATTTCAAAATGCCATTTCGTAATCTTTACTCAACTGCTAAATGATAATAACGAATGTGTTAAAATCGGAAGACGGATTCGTGGGGCTGATTTCGCATTGAGCGCGTGAGTCTGTTGAAAAGCAAATCGAACGCGACCTTGATTTTCTTTATTATGGTCATGCATACGAGATCGCATCTGCTATGCAGACTAAAGCCCATTAGATATACAAAAAAAATCTATTTGACTCTTTCAGTTTGCTCCGTGCAAATGACGTTACGTAAAGCGTACGTTGGATAAAATATCTTCGACAATAGGTACCGTAAAGTCGGATTACTTTGACAAATGACATTGAGCGTTGCGTCAAACGCAACGCGAAAATTCCGCGACGAGACGAAAATTTGGCATTAACCACGATGCACTTGACGTGCATCAACACTTTAGGTCCGCATTTATTCTCTGACCGTGAGATCATCGCGAAACTTATTATAACTGGCGCAATACGTAAATAAAACCCGTACGATGATTTATGCCGCTCGAATTATTTCACGCGATCCGTTGCTATTCTTCAGCGCATTTAAATGTCAAGATATTAATCTGTTTCGCACGTTTCCAGGGCTGAAACGATTTCGACGAGTCACAAAGTGAGCGGGAGAGATTGCGCAATACCAGTACGAGTTTCCAGGTAGAGGGATGTTTACTACACCTCCAATATCATGAAAGCATTCATATCTCGCTTTGAATACTGAGTATTTCTGTGTACCAATTGCTAAATAATATAATAAGTTAAAAGAGCAATTACAGTTTTCTGATATTATTAAATAGTCCGTAATAAAAGTCTTAATTTTGAAAGTTTCCAAAGCATGGCGAGAGTTACATTCACGCACCTTCGCATCATATACTATATTTAGTTTATATACTGATTGACATTTTATGTAACATATTAATTTTATGTCGCGTACACCGATTTGAATATGATTGTGAGAATACACCGTCAATATATCACGTTAAAGACGTTCCCTCTTCCAGGTGACCCACTGGCACACCGCGACCGCAAAGAAGGATGGTCAATTCGATATTGCTGCTTTGGGCGTTGGTCGGCCTAATTGGCCGAGCGCACGGCAAATGCAGCTTAGCGCCGATCGCCGACAACGATCGGTCGATCGCCTACGCGTGCATCCACGGCGACCTGAACGACCTCAACGAGCTGCCCGGCGAGACCGAGTGGATCGAGTTCTCGGTGTCGCGCTTCCACGCGATTCCCGACGACGCGTTCCGCCGATTCCCGAATCTACGTCGCCTGTCCTTCTACAATTGCCACGTAAACCTGATCGAACCCGCGGCATTTCGCGGCCTGCACCGGCTCGATTGGCTGATATTCCACGGCACGAGGATCCACGCGGTGAGGTCCGCGTGGCTCCGTCACCTGCCGAATCTCAGACGACTGGTCCTGGACAGGTATCATTTTTTTCTCACGATCTAATTGAGCTTGACAAGATTACGGAAAGAGCATGGCGAGAAAACGCTGCTCGAATGAAAAATATCAAAAGAATGTGACGGAATTCGGAAATGCAAGGAGCTGTAGCTTTTTTCAATGCTAATTCTGCGGGAAATGCACCATTTATAAAATAATTGCGATTTAGAAATTAATAATTTTATTATTATCACCTTTTCGTTTTACTTTACCCGTGGCAGTCGACACCACACTCGTAATTCAATGCAAAATGTCATCGACAATATTGTCCTTCATCGCATATATTTATGAAATTCAAGGACACCGATAGATCGAGGCCACGTGCAGCAGCTTATATAAAGC